TTTTTTTTTTTTTTTTTTTGATAAATCAACTTTTTATCTTTTATATCTTGGCCGTTGAGATTTTCATCTTATAAATGGTAGCCGACGGATGAATAAAACAGGTAGGTTAATTTTTATAGATATACTTAAATATGAATAATGTGGATTTAGAATAATGGTTTAAGCATACTAAGTGTGGGTGAAATAATATAATGGTAGTGCCACTTTTAATAAATCCCTCTTTTGTTGTATGCATAAGAGATATAGTATTTTATTAGATATTCTATTTAAAAATTTGACATATAAAAATATTAATTTATATAAAATAATATTAATTTTAATGATATAACATTAAAGTGAACTTTTTAGATGTTCTTCATTGTATAGGTTCTTATGATACTTCTTGAATTATTATTATTTCTAAAAATTAAAATTCACTTTATAGTATTTTTAATTTGAAAAAAATATAAAGAAAAAGAAATAAAAAGGAGAGAAAGAGAGGAATTTTTTATTAATTAAATTATAATATTTAATTAATTAAAAAAATCTTCTCATTTTCTTTCTTCCATTCTTGTTAAACTAAGCACATTGTTAGACTAATTTAACAAAAAATAACATGATTATAAACTAAGTAATAATTTATGAGATGAAAATTTATAACCAAAATTTTGTAAGAAAACTTTCAGCCATTGACCGTGCAGGTCCCTCACGGCAAATCATGCAGATTAGCCTTTCAACTCGTTGTGTAGTAGTAGAAGAACCCTTCATCTGCATTCACTCACAAACTAACCCTTCATCTTGCATGCGGTGGCAAAATAGCCCTTCTGACAACTATGACGTTAAATCTAACTTTCCTGTTTTTTGTTGACTTGACATTCTAGTCCTTGAACTTATTATTCTTTGGACTTTTAGTGCTTAATTTTTTTTGTTATGAAAACAGGTTTTATTCTTATATTGCTAAAATTTTCAATTCTTCTAAAGCTAATGCTTTACAAACTTTATAAACATATCTTTCCCATGGTAATTCATCAATTATATAGGGAATCATCCCTTTTTTTGCTATAAGCTCCATTATAAAATTGATCTGTTCATCATAGAATCTTACTAACTTTCTTAATTCCATTCTTAACAACATTGTTTTATGGCTTTGATACCAAAATTTTTAGGGGGGGCTTTCAGAACCTAACTCAGACTACAATCTAATGTGTAGCTGGTAT